GCAAAAACCCTGGCCTTTGGTATATGGAGAATTTGAATAGTTTGATTTAGATTTCAATTTATTTTGAGATATTTCTAAAAGAGTTTCTGTCATATTCCTTTTATAGAATGAAGGTGTTCTTACTGAGACATAGAGCTGCTTTAAAGAACTCCATTAATTGAAAGATATGCCAAAACATTGACAATATTTTTAATTGGTTGTTTGAGTTATCCATATAGATTCCTTTTTGTTCACCAACAGTGTGAGTAGATGCCCAATAAGTTAATTCTTTCTGTATCTGTTTATTTATTCATTCACAAAATAGTTATTGAATGCCTACACATCCCAGACCTACTAAACTAGAAAGTCTCTGGATGGGTCCCAGAACTGTGATTTTAAAAGCTCGGCAGGCTGGGCCAAGATTAGGGTCAGGAGAGTAAGGCAGGACTGGGCAGACTGCAAAGTCAGGTCCTGCCTTTATTTAAAATTTTAGTGTTTTGTTCATTTTACATTAAAGTCAATTTTTAAATACTGCACTAAAATATTGTTTATCTTTTAAGATCTTTAGCACCTCCTTACATTTTGCCCTTGATTTGAAGTGGTTCACTTAAAGCCATAACCTCCAGCCAGTGTTTCCCACAGTGTGGTCCCCAGCCCAGCAATATCAACATCACCAGGGAATTTGTTAGAAATGCAAATTCTAAGCCCCATCCCAGACCTACTAAACCAGAAAGTCTCTGGATGGGTCCCAGATCTGTGATTTCAGAAGCTCATCAGGCAGGGCCAAGATTAGGGTCAGGAGAGTAAGACAGGACTGGGCAGACTGCAGTCAGGGACTGCCTTTATTTAAAATTTTAGTATTTTGTTCATTTTACATTAAAGTCACTTTTTAAATACTGCACTAAAATATTATTTATCTTTTAAGATCTTTAGCACCTCCTTACATTTTGCCCTTGATTTGAAGTGGTTCACTTGCCTGCCCCCGCGTCCCTGCCCCCAGGTGATTCTGATGGCCTCTAAAGTTTGAGAACCACTTCTCTACATGGTAGATGTTGCAACTTCAAATGCCTACCTAGACAACAGATAGCATAAACAGTGAAGTGTTAAAATGGAGAACAGAATTGAAGGGGTAGCTATTAGGAATGCAGGCTCAAAGTTATGGATCTTATTTTTTAGGAGATGTAAGAAATATAGAACTTTCCAAATGTTAAATTAATGAAAAATGCTTCAGAGTAATCTGGGGGCTCAAACAAACATGTGTTTGCTTGCTTTCGGCTCACAGGTTGCTAGTGTGCAAGCTCTTGGTTTAAACAGTGAGAAAAATTAATGGCAAAGGTGCTTTATTTTCCTTCTGTAGAGGTTGGATCCTAAGTGAAGAATCAAATTAATCATACAAACAGGATAACATAATAAATCATAACTTTCCCCCCTTTTCCTATCAATAATCAGCTGTCAGGACATTGCCCAGAGGAACTATCATCTTTCCTCATATCAAGGCATTCCCATGGATATTAAAAGTTTAAATTTTTTATGCAATAACATGTGTGCATCCTGACATGCATATTCCAAATATTCAGAACCCAGTGGAAATTAAAAAAAAAATCTTCAGTAGGTAACTGTGTCAATGGGTGAATTATGGTTATTTTAAAAAATCACTTTTATTGATTTTGTCCCACCAATAACTTTTCTTCTGGGTGACCTTGCACACATTACTAAATGGCTCCAAGATTGTTCTATCGTCTGTGAAAGAGACTAACATCTAACTCAGGAGGTTGTTGTGAGGAACAGGAAAAGTAATGATTGCAAAAACCCTGGCCTTTGGTATATGGAGAATTTGAATAGTTTGATTTAAATTTCAACTTATTTTGAGATATTTCTAAAAGAGTTTTCATCATATTCTCTTTGTAGAATGAAGGTGTTCTTACTGAGACATAGAGCTGCTTTAAAGAACTTCGTTAATTGAAGTATATGCCAAAACAATGACAATATTTTTAATTGGTTGTGTGAGTTATCCATATAGATTCCTTTTTGTTCACCAACAGATTGAGTAGATGCCCAATAAGTTAACTCTTTCTGTATCTGTTTATTTATTCATTCAAGAAATAGTTATTGAATGCCTACTATGTGTTAATTGCTGGTTGTTGTTTTTTTTCATACACACAGTGGTAATATATTTTATGTGAGTAGATGCCCAATAAGTTAATTCTTTCTGTATCTGTTTATTTATTCATTTACGAAGTAGTTATTGAATGCCTGCTATGTGTTAATTGCTGGTTGTTTTTTTTCATACACACAGTGGTAATATATTTTAGAATTAAATTTTAAGTCCCACTTCAATTATTTGTTCTTTGTCCAACCATATTTTTACTTCTGAGTAGCAATGTCATAGAACATTTTGAAGCAAATATCTAGAGCCCATTGGTCAGTCATCATAGCCTCAGGGCCCTCTGATGGCTGTGGGCATTCCTGGGCCCCCACAGAGGCCCCCGTGGCTTTCCTGGGAGAGCTGAGTCACTCTCCCACCTGCTTACTCATTTTGTCATGCTTCAAAATTGAATCAGCCTTTTCCAGACCATGCCCCAACAAATTCTGCATACCAAAGATTTCCATAAACTGAGGCTCCATGACACTACATTAGACCTAAAAAAAAGTTAAGAAAAGAAGGAAGGGAGGGAGGAAGAGAGGAAGGAGAAAGAAAAAGGGAAAATAAAAAAATGTACCAAAAATCAGTAATCCTTTGATTCCTAGATCTTTCTTTATGCTCTTAAATAAATCATGTAATGGCATAGTTTGGGCATCTGGAGTTAATTGGCTAAGGTTTCAAACCCTTGTTGACTTTTATGCTCAATGCCCTTTGACAAATTATATATCTCCTCTAAGACTGTTTCCTGTCTACAAAATGAGGATAATAGTGACAACTACCAAATAGTGTTACTGTGGGGCTATAACCAAGCATTACCCATGAAGCACTCAAAGTGTTAATAGTAATTGCTCAATAAAGGTCAGCTGCTAATACTCTTGGGGCCTTAGCTTCCATGTCTCTAAAATGATGATGCTGGGCTGGAGAGTGAATCCCCAAATGACCTTCTAGTCCTATTCCTTTACTGATCTTTGACTTGTCCGTCTCTTCTAAAGATCAGTTTCATTCCTGCTGCAATCCATATACTGAGGTTGTGGGAAGCTCTAGAAATACTGCAGTGTTTATTATGGAGACTTGGGGAGGACAAACCATCTTGTGGTTATGGGGTTATCTACTAAGTCTTTAGTTCACCAATAAGTAGTTATTTACAGACAAGCATTGCTTCAGCAGTCTTGGTGAAGTTTAGAAAAGAAATCCTCAGTCTCCCTGAGAGGTAAAATATACACATATTAAATAAATACTAATGTATAATAACTTCAAAATTTGGCAATACACATGATTACAGAATAAGCTAACAAAAGCAATTTTGTGTGAAATGTGTAACAAAATAGCATAGTGAAGACAAATGCAAAAAAAGTTAGAGATAAAATTTTAAACGACAAAAAATACAAAAGTTTCTAGAAGTCAGAAACCCTCCAAAGAATGCCTTTTCAAGCATCTTGGATTTATAGCTATGCCATTACGTTTGTAATTACAGAGAATGACTTGTTTACTGAAGTAGTTAATAATGAGTTTTAGGTAGTGGGTCAGTGTTCAAAAGGACTCTTTTTGCTGGTTATGTGAAAGGGCAACTCTCCTCATGTCTCATATCCTATTTTTGTTTTTATAAGCTTGACATTCATTAATTCTCTGCCTTTGGGAAAAAATACAATGTGTTTTCCCAGCCAAGGAATCCAAGTCTGTTATAATTTCCTCTGCTCCATTCCAGCTTGGACTGGCACAGTTGTTTTGACTGACACTTATCCAAGAGAAGCCGAAGGAAAAGGGGCATGAGGTGACCCAGCCTCCTTCGAGTCTCTGAAGGAGCACACTTGGGGAACCTATTTTTTCTCATCCTCCACACATGGACACACGTGTCCTTTTATCAGCAAAACAAACAACAACTAACAAATGAAGAGTTAAACAAGAAAAACTAAAAACACCTCTGGAGCTGAAGGCACACATCTCGGCAAATGACCTTATAACATTAGTATAGGATCTGAGGCTGAAGAACCAACCTTTTCCTTGTTTGAGATACTTGACCAGCAATAGGAATCATTTAGATCGGTGTTAAATGCACACATCAGCACTGGTCCACAGTCACTCCCAATCCTGTGCTCTGATTCTGAGTTTCAGTGTCAGCAAGAACCGGCAGTCAGTTTTTAGAAAGACAGTGGCAACTTTCTGAGAAGTGTTTATCAAAAAGGGTAAAGAAAAAGGCAGGTGGTACCATTACAAACTGGAGCCAGAATGATGTAGTCCCTGGACTGCCCTTCTATTTGAGAATCACATTATGTGCTGGGGATGCAGATGTTCTGAGAAAAATTGTGAGCTGCTTTGGTTGGGTTGCAAATGATGGTGGAGGAGAGTCTGTAGGCATATTTTTATGCTGGTGTTTCCTTTCCTTGATTCCAGGAGACAATAACATGGCCCAGCAGCTGGCAGTTCTCTGTGGCAGAGAGATCCCGGGACCCATCCGGTCCACTGGAGAGTACATGTGGCTCCGGTTCACCTCGGACTTCAGTGTGACCAGGGCGGGCTTCAATGCCTCCTTTCACAAGAGTAATGTGACCTAATGTATTAGTCTTATCTCCTTCATTTCGCCTATCTCTTGCTCTTTCTCTAATCTACTCTGCTCATTTTTCCATGCTAGGACACAGGTTTGTTGTAAATCAGAGCACACGGTCTCTGCCCAGCCTCTGGATGGCTATCCTTATGTCAGGAACTGAGTCCTGATCGAAGAAACTGGCCAAGTTATACAAAACGGTGGGGCATCTGGGTGGGGTATCTTCCCTCCACAGTAGGCACAAGAGTAAGATCTTTAAAATAAAATTTCAGCTTAGCTGCGGCTGGAACTAGGAGACTGCACAAAGTCATAACACATCAAAGGAGCAGTAAGTAAGAGTTATCATCAGTTCCGGAAATAACCGGTCAAAGCAATACAGAAGATATCTTCATAAATCCCTTGGTCGAAATCATTCATTTGGAGGGTGACAGGAAGAGTTTGCTGGTCTTGAAATAGGGATTTGATGAGTTAGAGAATGTGCACAGTATATGGCAGGCTATCAAGTGTAGTGTGATTGAGACTTTCAGATCTTGACAAAATGTGAAGTCCAATAATAATTTTCAATTCAAGCTAGATTAAAGTTCAAGAAGTATTTCATGGAATATGAAATATCAAAAGGCTCTCATGCTTTTAACTGAAAAACATAATTTTAAAGTAGATTATCAATCTAGACCTTAAAAATTAACGTTCTCTCACTATTTATGTCTTTTATAAAGTAGAGAGCGATTGAAGATATATTGTCTTTCTCAAGGGAGGCAGGCTGCATAGTGGTTTAACAGAATGGGCTTTGGAATCAGACAGACCTAAGATAAATTCCCACCTCTGCGATTTAGCTAGTTGTGTGAACTCGCAGCTCTCACTCACTGATGAGCTGTTCAGTGCCTGACAACTGGCAAATTACTGCCTGCTCCGACCATTCTCTTTCCTGAACTCCCAGCCTCTCACTCTCTCATGTATCTCATATGTATGACAGCTCATGATAAATAAAGTTGCCATGTGGAAAACTGAACTCTTGACCCCCCCGATTTTCCACCACCCCTCCAAAATTTTCTCATGCTACATTCTTCTCAATTTTATTTGAAGTATATTTTTTTCTAGCTATTGAAACCAAAAAGCTTGGCATCATTCTTGATTCATCTTTTCTCACTCTATAAATCCTAATCATCAGCAAATAAAAATGGTTCTACTCTCACAATATGTCTAGATTCTCACCACTTCCCACCATTTCTACCTCCAGTCTAGGCATCTATCATCTCTCCTTAGACTCAAGTATTTCTCCCCCCAGTCTAGGCATCTGTCATCTCTCCTTAGACTCAAGAAATCACCCCTTTAGTGGGCACCCTGCTGCTGCTTTTCTCTACTCTCTCACAGTTTAGTGCAAAAAGAGTGATTCTTCTAAAAGTTAAGTCGGAGCATGCCCTGCAGATGCTCAAAACCCTTCAATGTTTTCCTTTTCTGATTAAAAATCAGTCTTTTTAGTTTCCTGCATGACCTACCCTGCTACCTTTTGGATCTCTCACTCAGCTGCGTGCATTCTGACTTTCATGACATACCTACCATTAACATGTCAAGCCTTTCCACCAAATGTTTTCTGGACTGGAATGCTTTTCTCTCACAAAGCCTACGGCCCAGTCTCTCATTTCATTCAGGTCCTGCTCAGATGTTACCCCAACAACATGGCCTTCTCTAACTTCCACAGACAATACAGTACCACTAGCCCTCTCCCTGTTCATTTTTCTTTGTAGAACTTAACACCATCTCACATATTATGTGTTTATTGTGTGTCTTACTCATCTGGAAAGTAAACTTCATGAAAGCAATTTGTTTCTGTTGCTTACTTCCCTTTCTTAATATTGGCAACAACAACAAAACAAGTACCCAATAATGTGCACCAAAAAAATACTTGTTGTGCTATTCATTTTCTACACTTTGGCCTCAGTTATTTTCAAACCACATTTCTACTGCCTAAGTTTGAAAATCCTCAAGAAAAATAGAAAAGCCTAATGTTATTTAAAGGGTTTCTTTAATTTCAATTTAAAAATTAATTTTCTTTGTTTCTTCTTGGGAAGGTTGTGGTGGATATTTGCATGCAAACAGAGGAATTATCACATCACCCAACTATCCGGAGACCTACCCTCCCAACCTCAACTGCTCTTGGCACGTCCTGGTTCAGAGTGGCCTGACCATCGCTGTCCATTTTGAGCAGCCCTTCCAGATTGCAAATGGGGACTCTTCTTGTAACGAGGGGGACTACCTGGGGGTAGGTCTTGTTTGCTACTCTTTCTAATTATTTCTCTGCAGACTTCATTCAGAAAACAAAATGATGATATTTCTCTCCTGGAACATAAGTCAATAAACTTTTGTACTTAATCCTTATTAATATGAAGAAATGTATAGAATTTTAATTTGTATTTCCAGCTAAAAAATGGACCTGACATCTCTTCTCCACCCATGGGACCTCATGGAGGAAATGGTCATTTTTGTGGCAGTCGCCCTTCATCCACTCTGTTCACCTCAGATAATCAAATGTTCGTTCAGTTCATTTCTGATAATAGTAATGGAGGGCAAGGATTTAAGATCAAATATGAGGCAAAGAGTTTAGGTAAGTACTTTCACTGAGAATAATGTCTGTAATTTTCCTGTGATTGTTTGGCCTTCCTTGTTTAAATAGACTTGAGAAAAAAATATGTAAAGTTTTCTTTTCTGAAATAAGAGTAATGAGAATAGCTACCTATTATCAAGCACTTACTTTATGCTATATACATTCAATATGTCATCATGACTACTTTCAAAGGAAGGTATCATTGTTCCCATTCTACAGATAAGTAAAAGAAGGCTTAGATTTCTGCCCCCCACCCCACCCCAAGGCCACATAACAAGAGAATAAAAAAAGTAAAATTCTCCATGAGCATAAATTGAATTGATCTTAATGATCCCTGAAATTTCTTAGACTTCTCCATTATAAAATACCTAACTATAAGTTTCATTCACTTACAGAAACATTGTAAAGAATGATAATTACATTGTTTTGTAATCATTTTTATGTTTCTTTTTAAGTGAATACATAATCCTCTGATTCTGTTACCCATTTAATTATATATATTACAGTACTAATCTTTACTTAATTATATTTGCTTAATTATACTTGATTATAATTAAATTTAATTCTACTGTAACAATTTAATTTTGTGACATTTTATTTTTGCATAATGTTTAATTGAATAAATAAGTAAAAAGGCATAACTTCAAATAAAATCGTATTATCAGTAGAGAGTATGTCTTTGCTTCAAGCTTAGGTAATAGGATTTTAGGATAATTCTATGATCTCAGTCTCAGATTTTTGAATATATTTCAAATACATATTAATCTATGACATTATAGGCTTTATTACACATTATCCAAAATATTAGAATTAATGTCAGCATAATTTCTTCATTTTGGGAAAGAAAAATAGGTCTCCATCAACAGATACAGAAAATCATCTAATAGCTCAAGTAGGTTCCGTCACTTCCCAGCACAGTGGCTCTGGCACTTGAAAGGATCCTTTGAAGACACAGCTCTGTGACAATAGCACCATCACACTGTAGGTCAGGAGTCCTCCTCCCTCCTGTCTCCACACTGAGCTTTGCTGCTGAGTCATGGCTGGGCAGGATTTCACCAGGTCCTGAGACTTGGTAGAGTAACAGTGCGTGTGTCTAGAGAGGAGACTTCAGCCCACACCACAGAATTCTGCCTCTCCATCTATACCCATGCTAGACTTAGTTTTGAATTATATTTCTTAAATCAACATTTAGTGGGAATTTGGATAAACTAAAGGTCTATTTGCAAACACTGTGACTCTTTTATTATTCCTTTGTGTACCCTCTATTCATGTAAGAATGGTATGGCTATTACTGTCTCCCCATCTTTCTGACCTTAATATTAGACTTAGCTGTCTTTTTATTTCTATTGCTGGGCAACCCCAACATGTTGATCACTCATTTCTCCCAACTTTCTAATTCAACCCTTTCCCCTAGTTACACAGTCAGCCTTTTACTTCCCCCATCTATCTTTCCTTATCTTAACACTTAACTTCTACGCTACTACCATTTCTCAGCCTTTGACACCAAATTCTCCTATTTTCCATTGCTGGGAAACCCCAAGATTTTGATCACTCTTGTTTCTCCCAACTTTCTAATTCAACCATTTCCCCTAATTACAGTCTTTTACTCCCCCCCATCTATCTTTCCACCACACTTAACTTCTTTGCCACTACCATTTCTCAGCCTTTGACACCAAATTCTCCTATTTCTAAACCATCTTTCCCCAGAGACAACTGATTGAGATTTCCATGTTTCTGTGCTCAATACTCTTTATTTTCATCAATTAATTGACCTATTAATTAATTAAGCAAACATTTACCAAGTGCTTTACACCTTGCAAACTACCAAGGAGTTCATAGTGCAGCGGAAGAGACAGACAAGCAAAGGTACAATTAGAACATGGCATGGTGAGTGCTAGAGAGAGGAATGCATCAGGAGCTATGCAAACATGTGAGAGAAACACCTCGCCCAGCCTGGAGGATTAGAGAAGGCTGCAGAGGAACGAGATGAATAGAGATGTGCCAATCGGTGAGGAAAAGATGGGACAACATATAAATTCTCAATGGTCATGCAACAAGGCATATCCATGGATTTGAAATAATTCAAAACTGAGTCAAAAGGAGTTAAAAATAATGGTGAAGCAGGCAGGAATCATAATGCTAAGGGCCATAGCTGCCACCATAAGGAGTTATGATCTTAACTGAAAGGCAATGGGGAGCCCTTGGACGATCTTAATCCAAAGCATGAGTGGCATGATCAGGTTAGAAACATCAGTGTGGCTGCAGCACTGAAAACACATTGAAAGGAGGAAGACTAAGGTAGAGAGACCAGATGAAAGAGTAATTCAGCAAAAAAGTATTAAGCCCTAAACTAAGGCAATGTCAGTGAGAATGTAGAGGAGAGGGCATATTGAGAGATATTATAAATATGGACTTGAGTGGATTTGGGGGTCAGCTGGATGTGGGGGCGAAGGGAAGGGATGGGAAGCACCGTAGATGGCCCATAGGTTTCTGGCTGGATACTTTTATTTCACAAACATTAAGAACTTGCCATGTGACAGACACTATACTAGCTCCTGGAGATATAGCAATAAACAAATAAAATATATGTCTTCAGGAACTTAATTTTAGTGTTAAAACACATATAACATAAAATATACAGTATGTCATACGGTAAAAAGTATTAAGGAAAAAAATAAGGTAACAAAGATGGACTTAATTAGAAGGGACGATGATGCTGTCATTTACTCATATGGACCTCTAGAATAGATGGTGAGTAGATAATAAGGTCCATTTAGGACATGGTCAGTGTGAAATCTCTGAAACACATTCATTGGAGATGTCCAATAGGCTGTTGGAACAGGGGTGTAAAGATGGGAACAGGGATCTGGATTGAATTTAGAAATACCTGAACCATTAGCAGGCTGGTTGTAGTTTAAGTCATGAGGATGAATGACAATCAGAAAAGTATTTAGATTGAGAAGATGAAGGGCCTACAGAGGGATTCCTGGGGATCTCCAGCAATGCCAGGAAAGGCCTAATAAAAGGCACTCAAGGAGGAATGATGAGAGGGATAAAACAAGGAGAGAAGAGCTTAGTGTCCAGGAAGCTAAGAGACAAAAATATAAAAAGGGAAGATGTGGCCAAACATGTTAAATGCTGTGGATACAGAATGAAGGCTTAAAAAGACCTTTGGGTACACAACTGTGAGGCGAGTGTGGACCAGGACAAAAGTGCTTTCATAGGGTTGAAAAGTGAAGGGAGGGTGAAGAAGATAAAAAAGAAGGTGGTGAGGAAGTAAAGTGACTGTAAATTACTTGAGCTTGTGATATATGGAAAGATCAAAGGAGCAAGGAGGAGAGAGACAGATTAAAAGCATAAGTGGAGGGATTGAATAGGGCAAGGTCCCTGAGGAATGAGAGCCCAACCCAGATATACAGGAAGGCAGTGTGCAAGGGGAAGTAAAGGTGGGTGGAGAAACGAATGAATTTATTAAGGATGGTAACAAACGAAAGGATTGCAAATGGAGAGCCGTCTCATCTGACTCCTGCTTTCTTGCTGAAGGAGACCTTCTAGTCAGGGGCTGAGACTAGAAAGGAAATGGCGAGAATGAAGGGATAGTACAGTCAAGCTTTAAATAACTGTTGTAATTTACATAAAACATGGGAGGACTGCTTCACCGTGTTGAGATTGGAGAACATGCAATTGTAGTGGCAGCAATTTCAATGAATGATTTCAATAGAATACAACCATAAAATTGAGATTTTGTAAGAATTCTGAAAGAAACACCAGAAGCGAGGGAGTTTACGGCAAAGAAATTTACATCTTCAGAGATGAAGGAGTTCTGGGTAATGACAAAATTCAGGAAATGACCAGATGTGGCTTAATGAGAGTGGAAATAAATATCAATAGGATTTAGTAGATCTGGTATCTGTGAGGCTAAGGTATTGGACAGGTTCATTTCATTGGTATGGTTAGTACCCAGGTTAGCCAGTTTATTGCTTGGTTTGTTTGCTAAGAGTGCCCAACATATTTGTTGATAAAATGAAAGTATTTTTTACATAATACTTTGGTCTTCTAGAAAAGTTTAAAAGCTCGTTTTTCTTCTTGAAAAAATGCATCTAAAACCTGAAGAAACATAATGAGTGATTGCCCGCAGAGTTGTGTAAATATACTACTATACCTGCTAAGTCTTTTAAACACATTAAGATCACAGCACTGCATCATTCTACTGAACTGAACAGCCAGTGGGCAGTTATTAGCACTAGTGCATTCACATGCTTATTAAGTGGTGGTCTATGGTACTGCTCCCAAGATGTCCTGCTGCTTGCCCTGTGTGCCATATCATTGTGTTGACTTTAAGGAAAAATGCAACTTCCAGAGAGAATAAATGGTTTGGAAAATTAAAAAGTGGCATACTTGTTAGCTTCCTTGATAGCAAATTCAGAATTTATTTGCTTAAAAAGTAAATAAGAATAATTTCAGATGAAAGAAAATTGAGATTGGAAATACAGATAAAGAGCTTTTTTTTTTTTTTAATGATCGTGGCAGTTGATTCCATGCTCTTTCTCCAGAGTGTAGATTGATTTAACTGTGTTTCCTGACAGCCTGCGGGGGTAATATCTACATCCATGATGTGGATTCTGTTGGCTACGTGACCTCGCCCAACCACCCGGACAATTATCCGCAGCACGCTGATTGCATTTGGCTCATAGCTGCTCCTCCTGGAAAGCTCATAAGGCTACAGTTTGAAGATCAATTCAATATTGAAGTAACACCCAAGTAGGTCACCTACATTTAATTTTTCTCCTTGCCAGAGCTGTTTGTTTTGTTTTGTTTTGTTAGCTGTTATGTCTCAGTACAATTTTCTTCTTCATTTCTCAGCAACATGTACTGCATAGATAATCTAGGGATGCAAAAGGGAAATGCGTAAGGCCTCCAGGCTGAAAACGTTGCCTGCCAGACACTCTCCCGTCAGCTGAGCAGATCGTTTACAGATATTGTCCCTCGTGACCCCATGCACATCCTCCAAAAGACATTGAGGATGGCTGTTTGAGATTTATGTGATCTGCTCTTCCTCTCACAGGAAAAGTGTAGTGTCTCTGCTAGATGAGGATTTATTTGCCCAGCCTCACACTGAGTGTCATAAATGATAAAATATCTGTTTAACAAATGGAAATTTGTATTATGTGACATCAGAGGTCACCTGTTTCAGAGACAGGACTAAAGCAAGTACAGTACAATTTCTAATTTCTATTTAATAAGAATTCTGAAAGATAACACACCAGAAAGTAAGTCTTACTATGTGGAATACAAAGGGAATAGGCAAAAAGAAAAAAAAATCTGTATTTTTTCTCATTTAACAAAAGTGTGCATACATTTGCATGAATATGTGTCTGGTACAAATCTTAGTTACAAGAGCTCTTGTTTGCCATGTATGGGCACCTTATCAAGGCCACTCTCCCACTCAGTGAGCATTAATTGGCTGATTGACTCAAGAAAAACTGGGTAAATACTTGATCCCTTTTATGGACATAGAAAATTCCAGCTCAGACTGTCCATTAGCCCGGTCACAGAGCTGTCAAGAGAGAGTTCATCTTTGTCATATGAAATGCGTTGAATCATCATGTGAAATAAAATACTTGAGTGTTTTTTAAATTCCTAGGGGGTAATTTGACAATGACTTTTAAACTTATAAATAAAACTAATGCAGAATATGGGAGGAAAATGAATATTCTTCAGTGTGGTACATGTAAACCCCCACCCCCTTTTTTACCTTCTAACTAAACTGTGTGTCATGGTTAGGAAGAATATTATAGAGTATTTTGAAGTGAAATGACACTTAAATTGACTCTGGTGCAGTGTCTTCTGCTCCAGAAAAGCTAACTTAATAATGCCCTTGGAAAAAGTAAGTGAAATCTTTTTCTAGCAAAATATGTCAAAGCAATTGTCTTCATATATTAAACAGAATTTTCTTTCACTTTAGCTGTACATCCAATTATCTTGAGTTGCGAGATGGAGCTGATTCAAATGCACCAATAATTTCCAAGTTGTGTGGTACCTCTTTGCCCAGAAGTCAGTTGTCCTCAGGAGAGGTGATATATTTGAGATTCCGGTCTGACAACGACTCCACTCGTGTGGGATTCAAGGCCAAGTATTCTATAGGTAACACTTTTTATATTCAGTAAGAAAGTAGGGATAGAATAAATACATTAAAACAAAACACACACACAATTATAAAAGAAGTCTTTCCATCTGCCTAATTTTAATGATAGAAATAAGTAAGGAATATAAATGTTTAAAACTGCAAAGTCATTAATTTTTACTTTGATTTCCATTTTAAAACACTTTTATAAATTTGAATATTTTGTATTTTGTTCTAACTTGTTTATGAAAAACACATTAGTCAAATCAAATTCTTGTTTCTTCCTATTATTATGAAATATTTATTATTTTAAATAGCAAAACTCTTTAGTAAATGTTAACTATATTTAAAATAGTGATTTTGAACTCCTCATCATTAACAGATCATTGAGTCGATTTCCCCCCTAAGCCTCTAGTGCCAAATCAGTCAGTAGACAAAAAGCAAAGAGTTCTTCAGTGTTTTGATTTCCTTACCTAAAAAATTCACTATAATATGTCCTGGACATTAACCAAACATATTTGATGCATACAACACTTGGAAAGCCCAGTTGTAATAACATTTAACCTATACCATAGGTTGTTTCATAGCTGATGCAAATTATATATAACTCAATCTATCACACCTGACTAATGAAAAATAATCGAATAGTAATTTTCAGGCCTTGAGCTACAAGCTACTGCAGTAAAATGTGTATTTGATAGTTAAACTAGAAATGGTCAGCATCACAAAGGAACCACAGCACCCTTCCCAGCTGAAGTTGGACTCAGTCTTCAGAATCCAACACAGGATACTGGGCAGGCCCTATCAATCTATCAGTTGGTTCTTGAAATGAAATGTTATTGCAACTGATAGATTTTACATGGCACCCCAAGAATTAAAGAGATATTACAGAATATGTCCTTCAAATCTTTCAGTCTTTCATTTCCCATTATTGGATTGAACTTGTGCTTTCATTTCTCTGTACATCAATAGTAGATTTCCAATAGTAAGGGAGCACTAACCAAGCATTTTCACAATTTTTGAAACTTCAGTTCATGTTCACTTGGCATATAAAAGTTTTCAAATGTGCTGGTGAAATTGTAAAAAATCTATAATAGAATATCGCTCTTTTTTTTGCAGCCCGGTGTGGGGGAACATTGACAGGGCAAAGTGGTGTCATCCAAAGCATCGGATACCCAACACTTGCATATTCAGACGATTTATTATGTGAGTGGCATCTCAGGGGTCCCTCAGGACACTATCTCACCATCCATTTTGAAGACTTTAACCTTCAGAATTCCTCTGGCTGTGAAAAAGACTTTGTTGAGATCTGGGAAAACCATACCTCTGGTCAGTAAAATACGCCTGCTATCTTTGGGGGTGTTTATTTTCACATGTACTCACTCAGCCTCTAAAGATTCCTCACTTCCAAGAAAGGCAAAACTATGTCTGTTCTTGGCAAAGAAGTGCAGCTCAATCAGATGTGGGAAGTGCCAACCTTTCTCTCCCTCCACACACCCATAAACAATGGGTGTCCTGAGCCGCACGTGTCATCCTATAGCTCACCCTGGAGACCACGGAGAGAGCATATTCTTCCAGGGCCATATGTAGTTATTTGAGGGACATTATGTGGCGTAAGGAGAAGAAAGGGTAATGTAGCCTGAAAATAATATGAGATGAACACATGCACTCTATTTATTCCGACCATTTCTTTAAACAAATGAGCTAGCCTTCCTCATTGTGCTGAGATGCCGTTGCCATGACTGGTTGCCCTTTATCTTACACATCATATATTTGAATATATTTATTTTTATTCATATTTGTCCTGCTTCTCTTGACAGAGGTTATCATTTCTTCACGGACAGGGTCTTATCTTTAATTACTTTCTTCATATGTGCAGAACACCTCCAGTAGAGTTTAAATAAAATCAATTACCTGGACATATACATACTTACTTATTTGACTCTCACAGGAAATTTACTGGGCAGATACTGTGGAAACATCATTCCTGACAGCGTGGACACTTCTAGCAATGTTGCTTTGGTCCGGTTTGTCACAGATGACTCTCTTACTGCCCCAGGATTCAGACTGCGGTTTGAATCCAGTCTGGAAGGTAAGTTCATGGATTTATGTAAATATGTATATTATTGAGCACCTACACGGGATAGACATTATGCTGGGCACAGATGTTATAGCAATTGGACAAAACACCCCACAAAAAAACAAAACTAAAATACCCGACTCCTGTCTTCTTGGACCTTACAGCTTAGTAGAGAGGCAGATGTCAATCAGTCACACTGATAATTGAAAACCACACCTGTGGTCAATGCTACAAAAGAAGGGAACAGAACTAGGAGAGATATAAGGGGACGGGAGTTGTACTACATTCATTTTAAGGAAGTCAGCCCATTAGTCCTACTCAGAATTTGCATTCCAAATTCCCTGACAAACTCAAGTAAAATAAAGATCTTGTCTGGAAAGAAAACAAAGAGGATAAGTACTTTAGCCCGCTGATTTTCCTGACTCTAAGATTACTACATTTATTGGTCTTATATTTCTTGGGCCATGATGATAAAATGCTGTGAACTATCATCCATGGAAACAAAGGTTAAATATTAATAGGAAATGAATACAAATGTTTTGTCTAAGTCCTTGCATACATATAGTTATGTCATTGGTGGTCGTTGGTGCCAATTTAATGCCAGCAGGAATCCCCAATTTGGGTGCAGTGAAGAGGAAACTTTATTGAGTGCAAAACAGCTCAATTGTGATACAGCACAGTGTGAAAACAGCATGGCTGTGAGGCAGCTCCGGATTAGGCAGCCCTGGGGCCAGGCCCCTCTCCAGGGAGACAGCTCTGCTCTGCAACTGGCTGGACTTCTCCACCCTGTGCTGGTCTGCTCCATTCTGCACTGGTGCGACATCTTTGGTGTTTCAGCTCCAGCCAGGGAAACTCACTCTTAGATAAAAAGGGAAACTATGGTCCTAGAGGGGAGAGAAGCTGATTTAAATAAACAGAAGTCCCCACTCCCAGTCCCTGATTGGCCCATCCTCATGCAAATGAGGACTCCAAATCTTCACAGTTTGATTGGTCAGAATGGAGCTGCTCTGATTGGTTGGTGAAGAACCTGATGGAGATAGAACTGGGCAGCTACGATTGGATGGGGAAAGCCTCAGTCCTATTGGTTGAAATAGGATTCTAGGAACTCCTTTATAAGGGCTGGCTCAGATGGTGGGAACACAGTGCAGGTCGACAATTCAGTGCGAGCTTCTCCCCGAAGTGCAGTTTTCATAAGAGTTCCCCGTGTAGAAGTGGCTGCTAGGCTTTGTTTTTTTATATTTGAGCCCAGTTAGCCACCAAGAGCTCTTCTTAGTAGGTATCTTCTTTCTCAGAATCCACATAAATAGGGCAATAATTTTGTCAAATATGAGAATGGAAAAAGAAACCACTTTAATTTTGAGGACATTCTTTATAGAAAGGGTCGATTTGGTTTCATTGGAAATCCTTTTTTCTTCCTCCTTCAGAATGTGGTGGAGATCTACAGGGCCCTACTGGAACATTTACTTCTCCCAACTACCCTAACCCAAATCCTCACGGCCGGATCTGTGAGTGGAGAATCACTGTGCAGGAAGGAAGGCAGGTCACACTAACTTTTAACAACCTGAGGCTGGAAGCTCATCAGTTCTGCAACAGCGAGCGTGTGACAGTAAGTGTCCCGTGCAGTCAGGGATATTATATTCCGTTAGTTAAGGAGTTCATTGTCTCATAAATCATAGTCGGGAAACTAGGTCAGGAATATTCCCGTTGTACAACTGTATCTCAGACAAACTCTCAGTATTTTAGACAGGACAAAATCTCAATAAACTGCCACAATATTTGTAAAAGCTGTTTTAAGAGGCTATTAGTTATCACAACATACATCAGGGCCATTGGTAGGATAAAATCTAAGAGCAAATGGCAAAATGGAGTAAACAGAGAAATTAAGCCTATAGGTAACACATGGCTGAATGGAACTGGTCACAGAACAACCCACCACCACAAGTTTTAAGCAGGTGAGTATTTCTGTATAACACCGTTCTATGCCAGAAGTACTGAGTGACCCCTTTGAGGGGCCATGGCTGCTTGTCCTCCATGTAGCTCAAATGCTTTGAAATATAGCCTCAAATTTTTTTACCTTCCCTTAGCAAAAAACAAAAGTAAGATCCATGAGTGTGAAAGGAGATTATTAATTGTGAAATGACAGATCTATATGCATATACTGTATGGATTGTAGATTAATATAAGTATATTTTCCTACCCAACTTGTCCTTTCTTCAGGCTTTGTTATCTCAGTAAATAATAATTCCAAACTCCTGATTGCTCAGGTCAAAAACCTTGATGTCTGTTTTTGATACCTTTCTCTCACACCTTATGTTACATCCATAAGCAAGTACCATTGGCTGTATGTTTTTAAAAGATCCAGAATCTAACTACTTTTCATCATATCCATTATTATTACTATCACCACTCACTTAGATTTATTTTAATAACTTCCACCCTGTCTCCCTGCATTCTCAACACAGCAGCCAGGGTGATAGGTTTAAATGTAAATCATATCATGTTGCTTTCATTGAAAATCTTCTAATGGAAAATCCCAAATCCTTATAATAGACCACTGGCCCTACATTACTTTTGCCCCTTCCTTTCCAACCTCTGCACCTTATCTCACACTCCCTTCCCCTTTTGCTCACTGGCCTCTTTTCAGTTCATTGAATATGCTAAGAACCCCCTCCCGCCCCCACCCCCCGCCCCACCACAACATCTTGGGGCAGATGGAGGCTGTGCGGCGCCGTCGCCCAGGCAGCAATGTGCTCGTCTCCGGGTGGCCCTGGTCTCTCGCATCGCACCCTCTCTGCGCGACCTGACCTGACTATGAATCGAGGCTCCTTTGTGACAGAGTCCTAACAAGGACTGCCTGGCTCAGGCGCCCGAGAAGAGCACCCTGCCTGATGCGAGGTGGCCCCAGGGCGCTGGCCTGGGGGTCACGGCCAGACCCTTCTCATGTCTGGCTTCCGTGTCTCCTTCCAGGCGGGCCCCTGACGGGCCCAGAGCTTCGACCTTGAAGTTTCTTGTGACGGATGTGACAAATGATGACAACTGGGTGGCTTATGACAACCAGAAATGTATTCTCTCCTGGAGGCCGGAAGTCCAAAATCCAGGTGTTGGCAGGGCCGGGCTCCCCCTGAAGGCTTCAGGGGAGGGAGCCTCCTGCCTCTCCCAGCCGCTGGTGGTCCCAGGTGAGCTTTGGCTGTGACTGCACCTGTCTCTGTGGTCACGCCTCCTTCTCCTCTGCGCACGCTGTGCCATCTCCCTTCGCTGCCCTGGTCAAGGGACACTCAGGATGGTGCTCGGGGTCCCATGTGAGGGCCATTAACTTAATCACATCTGCAAAGTCTTTGCCATTGAAGGTCACCTTCACGGGCTCCAAGGATTGTGACCTGGTATCTTTGGGGGCCATGATCTCCTTACCACAGGCCCTGGGACCACAGCACCCAGGCGGGCAGAGGCTCAGCCCGGGTAACAGGCCCACCTGTGGGCCCCAAGGAGTAGGCTGCACCCCTGCAGAGGTGGCAAAGGCTGGTGAGTCTTGTCCTCCGGGAGTTCACACTCTGGGCCACCAACTCACCTTGATGAGAGGCGGGGGCACGGAGCTCAGATATCAGAGGCCACGCGTGGCTGCCTCGTGGGGACGAGGAGGAGATGGCCCGTCTTACCAGCCTCGTGCAGCTCCGGGGACACCCACACATTGATGCACCCAGATTGTCTGCTGCCCTGAGGACATTGGGACAAACCAAGCAACCCCCAAACCCAGCAGCTCTCTCGGGTTAGCAATCTGTTGTTCTTTTACAAAAGGATCGGGGAACTGTGTTTCCTGACCAGACAAATACAATGTAGGAGCGAGTTCCTGGAACTCGTTGGCCGTCTGTGCCTCTAGAGACACCCTGATGACTCGTGTCTCAAATCCTGGCGTCCGAACTTGATGGAGGCCTCGCCCCGCTGTGTTGTGGGGTTTAGTGTGCATAGGAATTTGTTCATAGTTTTTTTTTAAACTATAGTCTGGCCCTCCAACGGTCTGAGGGACAGTGAACTGGCCCCCTGTTTAAAAAGTTTGAGGACCCCTGGATTATTATGATTATGTAAATACCATTAGCAATGAAGCCAGGTAGTGTACTATGATAGCATTTGCTTTGTTCATTTCTTGGTTTTCTATGTATCTATCACTAATTCTTCCACACATTTTCCACTCCAGACATATGCCCCCACCTTATACAATAAAGTAAGCAATATCCTAGCAATAGCCCTCCTTGAGCCTTGTTCTACAAGCCTGATGCCAGCTGTCATGTTGGGATTTCCCTTCACCAAATGTCCAAGTTCCTTCCTTTCTCTCCCGGGCTGGAGGCCTGGCTGAAGTACCAAACGCCTAATGGGAACCTCTGTGTGCATGACTGGGGTTGTATCTGGGCTGGAGGCCTGGCTGAATGACATGTGCATTTCCCTTTTTTGATTAAGTTTCTCCCTTTAGTGAGGCATATGCTCTTGTAGCTTCTTAAGGAAGTGGAGCTGAGTGACAAAGGTTTAAGAATGTGTATACCTAGAATTGTGCTTACTTTATCTTTAGTCTTTGAATATATCACATATTTGAATATATTACATATTTTAAAATATCACGTGTTCAATATATTAATATTAATATAAGAATATATTAATCATAATTTTGAAGTATTTTTCTCTTTTTGTGGTCAATTTCTCTTAAGTTCCTGTTTCCTATTTACATATATTAGTCTCTGCTTTTGCCATGTTTCCCTAAATGTCTGGTAACCTTGGCTGTTCATTTCTATTTAATAATGAAGTACCAAATGCCTAATGGGAACCTCTGTGTGCATGACTGGGGTTGTACATTTGTGTGACAAGTGGGGAGATGGCTATTTAATTAGAGGAAACTACAGCTGTCATATCTATAGGTCATTTCTCCTGGGGAGGTTAAAACTCCAACAAAGAAACACCTTCGGAATTAATTTCTGAATTTTTAATCTGATGTCCACATTCCTTTCCTTTGCAGTATATTTTTATAGATTCGAGGTTTGTTTTGTTTGCTCTTCACTCTACTCAAAACAAGAGGATGTGGCTTCCCTTTGCTCACCCTTCATTTATTTGAGAACTTCTCAAAGAGAAAAGAAAAAAAAAGAAGAAAGAAACGGGGAGGGAGAGAGGGGCTTGGGAGAGAGGAAGAAAAGAAAGGAGCTAAATTTAATAATCAATTATAGTAAATAAAAAAGCTTATATTTTTGTGATGGAGTACATTCTCTTTCTCCATAGCTCTTAGTGTCATTTTCTGGCACATTATTTCTAATTGTGAGCCATTCAAATCCTTTCTAAAAAAAAGAAAAAAGGAATGTCAAACAATCACTCATTCAATTATTGTGTAGTTACTTCTGGATTGTCCTTGAACTGTAAAAACCAGGAATGCCAAATCATACTTTGCCAATTATTATAAACACTAGAGGCCTGGTGCACAAAAATTTGTGCACTGGGGGGGGGGGGGGGGGGCCCCCAGCCCGGCCTGTGCCCTCTCGCAGTCTGGGACCCCTTGGCAGATATCCCTAGGTGCCCCTGGTCGGGCTCAGAGCAGGGCTGATTGGAGAGTTGGGGCACCGCCCCCTGTCATGCACAGAGCAGGGCGGATTGGTGGG